AGTTGGTTGCATCTGGAGAGAATTTGTTTCAGAAGGTACATACTGATGAGAATGTCGTTGATATGTTCACCAAGCCTGTTACGACAGACAAGTTCATGCATTGCTTGAACTTGTTGAATGTTTCAAGTTGTTAAAGAAGTAAGGTAACCCAACCCATATTGAATGTTTCCTAAGGGGCAGGATATTTGCCAAGGTGGAGATTTGTTAGGTATGGCTCATAAATATACCAGTAAAGAGGACAGAGGATGGAGCGGAGTGAGCAAAGCAAACATCATCTGTCCTTACAAAGAAAGTCTCGTAGTGGGGGTTATGATTATATGGGTTGGGGATGCGGGAGCGTAGCCCCGTGGTATGGTACAGGGTTATTTTTATAAATATGTACCAGGGTTTATTTATTATAAAAGGAGATGTAACCTAAACCTATGAGATATTGAATGAAAAACTAGCGCCACCTAAGGCACCGAAGACGTAAGCACGTTGCTGAACCTCGTTAAAATTCTTGTGTTCTTTCTGTTTTCTTTACCCGACTATTCAACAATCTCTTAGGAATCTATGTGGGTGACAATATGGTGATTCATCTAGCTGGAAAGGAAAAGAAGATTCAACCATATTCATGCCGGGAATGCATAAACAAGGGGGTCATCAATGGAGAAATAGCCAAAATCTGCATCTATTGCTTCCTTGCTGGAAAAAAGCTTAAGGTCTATGAATATGGCATTTCCTATTTCCAACACAAATTCAAAAAGAATGGTACGTGCTGCATATGCACCGCCAAGCAACCCCAGGAAATCCTTGCTGCTGCCGCCCATTTACTCGAACACGGTGGGTTTGGCAGTTACAACCTCTTATTTAATAACTGTGAGGACTTCGTCGTGCAGTGCAAAAAGGGCTTCGCCGAAAGTAAACAGATTTTGGGTCATATTAAACGACTGATGTTTATATTTCCGATTGTCGGTGCGATTGTTATCATTCTTTTTGCGGCGGCTTATGCCTTGAGCAAAGGGATGACCGCCTCCAAAAGACATCACAGCTTAACTTAAATGCATCGGTGGTCCTTATACTATTTCAAATTTAAAATTTAAACTTCATATTTTGTTATTGTAACTTCATATTACTTTTTTACACCAAATAAATGGTTACATATTTTCAATTTATTCAAAATAATGAAACATTTAATATACAATATTATCATACATGTTAGGATCCAAAATCTCACATACCATTTGAAGTTTCTTCTTTTGCATTTTCTCTTGTTTCTTGTCCACCAAGGTATCTTCTTTTGCATTTTCTACTTGTTTCTTGTCCCCCAAGGTATTTTCGTCTACATCTTCTTTACCCTCATTTTGTCCCTCTTAATCATTGTTATCATTCTCTACATTTTCTTGGTTCTTTAGTTCTATGCCATTTTCGTCATCTATAGCCTCAGAATTGTCTGCAATAATGGAATCGTGATCAACACTTTTGCTTTCTTCTTCCATTAACAAGTTTATATTTTCATCGTTTTTTATCGTTTCTTCAATAGGTCTCTTTGATTATATGCTTTCAATCATGTCATTTTCATCAACACTAGAATCTCGATCGATATGTTTATCTCCTCCTTTCATTATCAAGCTTATGTTTTCGTCAATTTTGCTCATTTCTTCTGTAGATCACTTTGATTCTACGCTTTCAATAATGTCATTTCCCTCAACCCTAGAACCTTGATCAATATTTTCGCCTCCTTTCATTATCAAGCTTGTGTATTCATCGATTTTTCTCGTATCTTCAATAGGTATCTTCGATTCTACGATTTCAACCTTGTAAGTTCCATCAACACTAGAATCTTGATTGTCTCCTCCTTTCATTGACGAGTTTGTGTTTTCATCAGTTTTTTCTTCAATGGGTTTCTCCAATTCTACGCTTTCAACCATGCCATTCCCATCAACACTAGAATCTTGGTCAATATTTTTCCCTCTTCCTTTCGTTAATGAGCTTGTGTTTTTGTAGGTATCGCTCGTTACTTCAATAGATTTCTTTGATTCTATGCTTTCAACTATGTCACTTCCATCAACACTAGAATCTTCATCAACATTTTTGTCTTCTTCTTTCGTTAACGAGCTTGTATTCTCATCGGTTTCGCTTGTTTCTTCAATAGGTTTCTTCGATTCTATACTTTCAACCATGTCCTTTCCATCAACACTAGAATCTTGATCAACATTTTTTCCGCCTCCTTTCGTTAATGGGCTCGTATTTTCATTGGTTTCGCTCGTTTCTTGAATGGGTCTATTCGATTCTATGCTTTCAACCACATAATTTCCATCAAAACTAAAATCTTGATCGACATTTTCGCTTTCTCCTTTTGTTATCAAGTTTGTGTTTTCATTGGTTTCACTTGTATCTTCAATAGATCTCTTTGATTCTATGTTTTGAACCACGTCATTTCCATCAATACTAGAATCTTTATCGATATTTTTGTCTCCTTTTGTTAACGAGCTTGTATTTTTATTGGTTTCGCTCGTTTCTTTAATGGGTCTCTTCGATTCTATGCTTTCAACTATGTCATTTTCATAAACACTAGAAGCTTGATCGACATTTTTGCCTCCTCCTTTCGTTAACAAGGTTGTGTCTTCATCGATTTTGCTCGTTTCTTCAATAGGTATCTTTGATTCTATGCTTTCGACCATGTCATTTCTAGCAACACTAGAATCCTGATCGACATTTCCGCCTCCTCCTTTCATTGACGAGCTTGTATCTTCATCGATTTCACTCACGTCTTGAATAAGTTCCTTCAACTCCGTGCTTTCAACTATACCATTTGTATCAACAACAGCCTGGGAATTGGCTGAACTAGAATCTTGATCGATACTTTTGTCTTCCTCTTTCATTAACAAGCTTGAGCCGCTATCGAGCTCACTCGTTTTTTCAATGGTTTCAAGTGTATTTCCCCTCTTCTCCGGTTCTTTGCTTTCAGGTATGATGCTATCTCCATCGCCTAAAAACCTCGGAATTGTCTCCACCAAACCTCTGATCAACACTCTTCCCTTCCTCTTTCATTGATGAGAAGATGTCCGTCTCAAGTTCACTTGTGTCTTCAATCTTAATTTCTGGGATTTCACCCGTCTCGTATCCTACCCTCGAGTCCGTCGTATTGAGTATCTGTTCTTCACCTCCATTTTTCTTCTCTTTAATATCATTATCGTTCTCTAATTTTCCTCGTTTCTTCGATCCTGTCCTTTCGGCTACGCCGCTTTCATCGGCCACAGCTCTTGATTTCTTCCTGCACAAAGCACTCCCACCTTCCTCTGCCATCAATGAGGTTGCGTTTCTATCAAGCTTTCTAGCTTTTTCCATGGTGGTTACTGGGGTTGTGCCCCTCTTCGATCCAACCCTCGAACTTTTACGGCTGATCGAGTTCTCGACCGTGGCGTGTTTCGATTTACCGCAACCCATTTCTGCTTATTATCCTGAAGTGCAGACAAGAGGGTAGCATTCCTCCCTTTTTAATCTGGAAAAGGACATGAGATTCTTACTTAACTTTCTGTTCAAGACACCGCAGCAAGTTGGTGCTTGACAATTTGTTTATTTTGGTTTTATAACAACACGGACATGGATTCTTACTTAACTTTCTGTTCAAGACACCGCAGCAAGTTGGTGCTTGACAATTTGTTTATTTTGGTTTTATAACAACACTTATTTTAAGGCTGAGCTTAGCCTATTTAGCAAAATCAACAATGGAATCAATAGGTTGTTTGTAACAGTTTGGAACCCGAATTCGTTATCGGTTAATTTAAAATATTTACGATACGATTCGTTTGATTAACAAATAAATTTGAAAAAATGTGATTTATTAAGATCGAAAAATTTAGAGACTAAATCAATCTAAAATATTCTATGAAAGTGACAATGGAAGACAACTTTAAGGGCTAAATACTATTTAAAAATATTTTAAGTATTTGATTTGTTAATTCAACATAATTAATTAAATTTCGCATATCTTAATTGAATGGCCAAAAATAATTAAATTACTTAAAGATGAATACTAAAAATAAATTTTTATATAAAAAATACTAAAAATAAATTAAATTAACTACTAAATAGGGGTGTAAATGAACCTAGCTTGAACGAATAATGTTAATTTTATGTTTGTTTGTTCATCATTTTTAAAGGCGTTCATGTTCGTTTAAATTTTTAATACCGTATTCGTGTTCGTTTATTTATTTTTGAAGGTGTTCATGTTCGTTTATTTATTGTTCGTGAATGTGTTCATTTAATGTTCGCGAACATATTCGTTAATATGTTCACGAACGTGTTCATTTAACGTTCACGAACGTGTTCATTTAACGTTCACGTTTACCAGTTTATTTGCAAGATAAACAAAAATGGTAAAATTATGCTAACAATGCTTAAATTCCTTAATATTTATAATTTAAATTTTAACTTTTGCCATGTGTTCACCTTAGTCCATACCTTCACCAATATTATTTAAAATGTAAAAAATAAAAAGCAAAGGAGAACTGAGCAAACAAGCTTGTTAATGAACATCAATGAACGAGTTGATAAACGAGCTTATAAATGAGCTCATAAACAAGCTTGTTCATGAACATAAGCGAACCAAATACACATTTGTTCGTGTTCGTTCGTTTATTAAATGAACATAAAAAATTTGTTCATACTTATTTATTTAGCTTAACAAATAAACATAAACGAACATTTCACGAATAGTTCACTGAACGATCTGTTAATTTACACACATGTACTAAAATTATAAACATAATAAAGGGATTAAAATTATAATTAAAAATATTTATGAAAAAACATTTTTAGCTTGAAATTATACGTAACATATTGATACTACTAATCTCTTTAGATAAAATATAAAAGTTTAATTGTATCATATTAATAGAAAAATATTAAAAATACAATAAAAACGAAGATCTGAATTAAATGATCCATGGACCGCCACCTCACGTAAGTAAATCCTTCCCCCTTCCCCCTCCTAAAACCCTGATCAGCCGCTCAGAGGAAAAGGAAAATTCCAGCGAGTTTTCGTATCTAAACCCGCCGAGTTAACCCCGCTCCGTTCCCTGACTCATCTACCACTCAATCCCCAACTCGAAGGAAAAAAGAGAGAGGAGAAGATGCAAGTGATTTCGAACGCTCGCAATCTCGCTAGGTTTTTAGGAGCTCGAACAGTTCTTTTCAATTCAAATCAACGTTTCTCCTCGTCTTTGATTCAATCTCACAGCTCTTCTCTTCAATGCCAATTTCACGGTGACGCTTCCGCAGGTTCCGTCAATTTTTCATTTTTTTAGCCACTTTGTTCGGTTACTGAAAGAAATTAGGAAATGATATAGTTTACCATATTTTTTTCTGTTTATTTCAATACTAATTGTTTAGATTATTAGCCAAGAAGTAGAAATAAAAAACCTCTAGTTATTTCAGAGAAAGAAGAAAATCGAATCTATTGTGTTTGTGTATTAGTTTAGCTAATTTTACAGGAATTTGTGGAAGCTGTAATTATCCGATGACACTGCATTCGCTTTATCCGATGATTTCAAGGACAAGTTTTTCGACAGAAGCTGGAACCACAGATAGCAATCCGACTGGTACCTGGTTTTCTCTTTAGTTTAGTTTGAGATTAAGTTCGAAGCCTTTTGTTTTATTTTCAATGTTTGGTTTGTGTTGTTGAATACAGAGGCAGTTAACGAACTCTATGAGAACATGCTTCAATCTGTAAATGTTAAAAGAACGATGCCTCCAAATGCCTCTCTATGGTCAATGATTGGTAACTGCAAAAATCATGAAGATATTAAGCTTCTTTTCGATGTTCTCCATAATCTCCGAAGATTTGTATGTTCCTTATCTATACCATCTTGTATCCTTAGCTTGATGCATTTGTCATTTATGGATGTACCCTCTGGTTTTTGCTTTCAGCGATTATCGAACCTACGGATTCATTCCAATTTTAATTGCAATCTCTGTCAAGAAGTTGCCAGGGCTTGTGCTCGTGTGGGAGCCATTGATTTTGGTATGCCTATTGTTACACATATCCTTGGCCCATTTACTTCAGTTCAGTTATGAGTTTTGCATACTAATATGTGTGAAACTCTGGCATGTTCAAATTTTTTCAAAGTTTTTCTATGAGTTTGGAAGGTTCTTGGATGGTTGCATATGCATATCCATGTTGAATATGATTCGGACACGGGTATGAGTCAGAGCAATAGTGTTAAGCAGTTGGTTTTTCCTGCTATTTGGTTTTCTTTTTTTATAGACCCCGAACAATATTATGTGGTTTGACAGCTAGTTCTTTATTACTGGTTTGCAGAAATTTATTTGTTATTTAAAAGATTTGCAAGTACCATCTGATATATGTAATGTAATTATATGAATATGAATTAGCTTGATCACTTTTGCAGGAAAGAAAGCTTTGTGTCTGCACAATGTGTACGGACTGACTCCCAGTATTGCATCTGCACATCATTTATTGGTATAACTGTGTCATCAATCAAGTTGTTCAAGTCTGATTTGTGTTTCTTTTCTTCTTTTCTGAACATATAATTAATTCTTGGAGTGCAGTCTTATGCTAAGGCTCATATTGATGCTAAACTCATGGTGGAGGTGATGCGGCTCTTGAAAAGGAATAACTTACCTTTACAAGCTGGGACTGCAGATATCGTTTTCAGGTGAATCAATTTTTATTTATGGCACACTCTTCACTTTCGCTTTGCTAAATGCCCAAAGAGTTCCAGTCTTAAGAAAATATTTTTCCTTTTCAGAATAAATTTTTGAAGTTAATATAAAAAATTGACGAAATTGAAAGGATTATTTTCTATGAAATGTGTAATTCAATTCACATTTGATTCTTGTTCAACTTTTTCTCCTTGGCTAGGACACTCAACACAATAAATCCGAGATATTTGAATGTGATACGTGTAGATGACCAGTTATGCTTTGCCCGACTCACTTTCTAAAATGTTCTATTTTTATTCAACTATCTGCCGCAACTCAACAGATTGGTCTATGTAGTTTTTCATTTTGGTAGAAGGGATATGGGAATGTTGTTCTCTTCTTGCTTCCTCTAAGTTGACTTAAAATAATTTGTGTTAAACATTGCAGCATTTGTTCCAATACAAATGATTGGGAGTTGATCTCTAAGTACTCGAAGAGGTTTATCAAGGCTGGTGTTAAACTACGACAGACTACCTTTGACACATGGATGGAATTTGTTGTTCGAAGAGGTCTCTAATCTCCTCGTTTTTAGTTCCTTTCTTTTGTATATCTTTGGATTTTCCGTGTGATTTACATCTTTTAACTCTCTCTTGCCTGTTTGTGTGACCTACAAAGCTACTCAGTTTTCAAGATATACTTATTTGATAGTTTTCATCCTTGAATTACTGCTCTGGGGGCCGGGGAATTAGGAGCACCGAGAGGGAGAGAAAGCGCACACTGGATAAATGAGTTACTTCTAGACTTTCCCTAATACTTGGAATTGATGTATCGTTTCTTGTTATAGGAGACACTGACTCACTATGGAATATCGAGAAATTGAGATCCGAGACAATGAAGCAGCACTCTCTCACCACTGGTTTTGCATGCGTGAAGGTAAATTTCATTCTATTGCTGAATATGAAATTTTATTTCAGTACACACGACCATCTGATAATCATTTTATTTATCTTCAATATTTCTGCATTTTCAGGGTTTACTACTAGAATGCAAACCCGAGGATGCTGCAGCCCTTATTCTGGCCCTTAATGAGGTAAATCCGATATCATATAAATTTATGCCTTTTTATATTTTGTAATCTATGTTATCCTCCCATTGATAACTTGTTTTTCGATCTCGAGTGTGTGTGTTGACGCATTCTAGTCTACAATGTCCACAAGATTAAACTTTAACTCTATCCATTCCAGACTCTATCTGATGCAAAGAAGCCGAGTATCACGGTTGAAGTTGAAAAGTTGATAAATGAATGGCCATTGGAAGTTCTCAAGCATCAAAAAGAGGAAGATAGGAAGGTATACTGTTTACATGTTCGTTTGTCCTCTCTAAATACGTGAACTATGTTGTTTCTTTTGGCACCGTGCATAAAAGATCTAAAGCCTAATCGTAGTCCGTCATTGAATCAATCGGCCAGGCATTGACAGCTGCTTTGAAATCCGATATTCAATCCATGGTTGCTAGTCTACTAAACATTGGCTTGGCGAGGAGCGTAAATTTGGAAGACTTAAAGAAGAAAGAAATTCTATCATAGGATGGGAGATTGGACTTGAAAATCCGAATTCCGGCACCTTGTTTCACAGAGCGTGCTTCAACAATGGTGGACATTTATGAGAATTGTCGTCACAAAGTAAGCACTTTTTTTAATCAATTTAAAGGTTAATTAAATCCCTTTTTTCTCTCTCTTTTTTACATTGCGAAGCAAGTGTTTTAAACCTTTAAGATTGATGAATTATGTTTTGGTTAGGAATTATTTTTTATTGTCTCCGTCATTCCCTTTTATTAAGGTAAATTACAAGTTTCATAACTGAACTTTACTCTTTTTCCTATTTTTCTCATTAAACTTTAATACTTTTTGATTTTCTCATTGAACTTAGTGCATTGGTTTTTTTTTTTTTCTGTCATTCCGCTGTTAAATAGTTAACGGTGTTAAAACGACGTCGTTTAAAAAAATTCACTACAATGACGTCGTTTTGCATCTCTATATAACAGTCCATTTATAACGCCATTAGTGAGAAAACAATTGAGTGACCTAAAAAACCTAATATATTAAGTTCAGAAAGGAAATTGAAAATATTTAAAGTATAGTGAGTGGAATAGAGGAGAGTAAAATTCAGTTACCAAATTTTTAATTTACCCTTATTATTACCACTAGTAGGTCAAATAATGATTTTTAACCCTCAACTATGCTTAATTTTGAGATTTAGTTTTATATTTGTTTCTTAAATCAACAACTCTTAATTTTATTAAATAAAAAGAAAATGTTATAATTATTAGAAGAGTTTTTAAAATTGGAGTAGATTAAACCATATGGATCGGTCATTATTTTCTTCTAAAATCGTCAAAATGTACAAATTAACAATTGAAAAGCTAATAAAATATCATACAGGAAAGAGTTAAAATTTCCATCAAATAATTCAAACATAATAAATACAAATAAATATGAGTATCGATTATTGATGAAAAAATAAACACTAAAATTTAAATATAAAAACGTATATTGCGATATTGACACACTAATATATTAATTTTATTATAAATTTCTATAATGATTGTTAGTTGCTTTTAATAAAAGAGAATTAGTACGAGGGTAAAATAATAACATTATAATAAAAATAATAAAAGTCTAAACAATATTTTTTTTATATTATGATAAGAATAATAGATTTTTGAATAAACATTATTAGTTGAAGTTTTATTATCATAGGAGAATTATTTTATAAACTAAAGTTTGATATGTATGATTTATTTTAACATAATATCCTACTGTCACGTTAATAAAATATATATTATTCATATTTAAAAAATGAAAAGAAAATGAACCCTATTAGTTTCAAATTAAGAAAGGATAAGATATTTATAATATCACTTTCAGAGGATTAAATAATTGGATTGCAATTTCAAGCTTTCTCTTGCACTACAATCATCAACCAAAAAAAAAAACAAGTAAGAAAAATTAAGGGTAAATTACAAATTTCATCACTAAATTTTACTCTCTCTCTTATTTTGCTCACTGAACTTTGAAAATCTTCAATTTTCTCACTAAACTTAACACATTAGGTTTTTTTGTCATTGAAATTTACTCGCTCCTATTTTGGTCACTCTGTCGTTAAATAGTCAACGATGTTAAAAAGCGAAGTCATTTTGAAGAAACAAAATTTTCACCAAAACGACGTCGTTTTACATCTATATAACAACACATTTTAATGTTGTTGACTATTTAACAGCCGAGTGACCAAAGAAACTAAGTTTATTAAATTCAGTGGGAAAATTTAAAAGATTTAAAGTACAATGAGTCAAATATGAGAGAGAGTAAAGTTTAGTTATCAAATTTGTAACTCCCTTAAATTAAACTCCTAATTTATTATCAATAAAATAAACCCATTGACTTTCTTAATTTCAACAACTTACATGTGACTTGGTCAGTTGGTATTATCAAAAGATTGAAAATATGGTTGCATTTGAAAAGCATATGATTTTTAATTCAAATTATTATGACCCAAAATATTTTTCACACAAATTATATAAATTAAGAAAATTAATAGGGTGTCCCTTTCGTTTTGACATGTAAATTTTATGTAAGTTGTTCAAACTATTAATGAGTTTTCCATATGTTTACTATTAAGAGCTTAATTTTTCATGCAAATTAAAATTTAAGGTGGTTAGGGGAATTGTTCGATTATGTGATTGATTGAAATTTCTAATAATAATTTGATATTATATTTTTTAGACTATAGTTTGATCTCCGACAATATCACATTTCGAGTGTATGCATGGATTTATGAATATTTATTATTAAATAGTTAAAAAAATCCAAATATTATCTTATGTTGATCCTAAAAACTAATAATCATCTCTAAATAAGTAACATATTGTGCGTATGTGTGTACGTACAAGTTTGTGTGTGAAAGAGGGAATTTGATAGGTTTCATTTTCTTCTGCCTACGTGTATGACCTCTTGATTTCATCCGTAGTGTAAAAGGCTTGGACTTTCAATTGGCTTTTGATTTTCTTTTAATGTCTAGAATTATCTAAATTTTGGATAATTTATAGTTGATTGAACCTTAGTTTAATTGATATTCAAAAGTCATTTTATTAAAATTTTGATTTGATTTTATAAAATTAATTTAAAAAAAGGTCCAAGTTCGATTAATATCATATTCAAGATAAGAAATTCCTGACCATGCATAATAATACAATTATCCTTTATTATAATGTCTCACTCTATTTTTTTTTCAACTAGTTTCATATTTTACCAAATAATGATTTTTATATTTATGTTGGTTTACATTTTCACTCTAGAGATCGAGTCAGGTGAGACTCTTTAAATAGGAGTTGAATCAAGTTTTAGATGGACGATATGTGTTTCAAGTGGGACATAAATCAGGTTGTGTTTTAGATAGATAGGATATACTTCTTAAGATCATATCTAATTGGTCGGAAACTAAATCCAATCTAACCTATGACTATTCTTAATTGTCATCTTATCGTAATACTTTTAAAAACATAAATATGTTTAAATATATAATTTCTTTTAATTACGAATTTAAATAGATTAAGAGTAATTTATTGATGGGTCAAACTTAAATAACATTAAATCAATAAAGAAATGAGATTATTAACGGAGATTATTTCATGTGGTAAGTAGTTTAATATCACTTAAGTTGGTCTCAAGTTCGAATCTTTGTGTATGCAAAAAATCCTTGTTGGGAGACTATCTATCGAAGTTAGATGTACAATTCGGGTCTATCCAAATTAATCAAGACGAAATCTTTAGAACTGAAAAAAAGAGAAAGATTAAATTGGTTTATAAAAAAAGGTTTCATCATTGGAACGCAATCTCAGTCGTGCAAACAAAACCATTGTTAGAAATCTTAAAATATTAATTTATAAATTACTAATTATAATAATTTATTTTTTATGAATAATTATGTGTCATTTAAAAATCATCTTTAATAAATTTTGTTAATTAAAATTACTTTATAATTGAATTTTAAAATAAAAGTTACAGTAATAGTCGACGTTAGTCTCTTTTCTTTTTTATCTTTGTGATCGACGGTGACATTAGTCTTGTATTGATTGTCGACTGTGGTATTCATTATTTTTCATTTGTTTTATTATAGTGTATCTTTTTTTTTCTTATTTTTTATTCTTAATAATTCTACATTTATAACACGTTTTTCTATGTCTCAATGACATATTTTCGTTTGTTTGACTATTGTTTTCTTTTATTTTTTTCAAGGTTAGATTTGACATCAATAAGAATGATCAAAATGACGTTTATCTATTATCATGATGATCTTCTTGCTTTGGACCCTCAGATTGAATTTGGATACGCGATTTGAGTTCATAGATAGTATTTTTACATCGCTCGATCCTGATTTGTGGTATATTGGTGGTCTTTCAATAGATTTATTCTCTTTTATGGTCTGTTTGTCGATGCAGTAGATCTATTCGTATTTATCTCTTGCTCGAATCTATTTGGTTAGGATTTTAAACTTTTTCCTTGTATGGTCCTTGTGTGATCTTAAGTGACTAATTTCTTGTATTTAGGAAAATATTCTTATTAGATGTTTAGTTACAATTGTGGTTGTAAAATTTATTGTAATTTGAATATTTTCTATTTTTATTAAAATTAGAGACTTCTATAAAAAAAAATTATAGTAAACTACACCAGATGTTATTGAACTTAGGGGCTTGGTCTTTAGATGACTTATTGTTTATATTACTTAATTTTTAATTTCTTCAATTTTGGGATGACTATCTATGTCCAAAACAAAGTTATCGACATTGAGCTTTATGAAATTTGTCATTAAACTTTAAAAAGTTAGTTTTTTGAAATTTTTTCGGTTGCTGTTAACATTCAATTGTTGCTCATCATCCGTCGTCTTTCACAGCAAGATCGGTATCAAAACATTCAAATTTGACTATTTTTCTTTCTTATAAGATTAATTTTTCACGAAATCCACTCAAAATTGACGAAAATCATTTAAATGTTCAATGTGCTAATAATTTAATCTTCTCCAATGATCATCCGATGATGCTAATTTTGATGTATGTTATTCGTCTTCTAGAAATAGTGTTTTTCACCGTTCAAATTTTCTAACAAATATTCTAAATCTCTCAAATTATCTCATAGTTCAGTGCTTAAAACCATGCATCGTTTTAGGCATCAATAGCTAAACCAACATGATATCATTTTATCAAATGCAATTTCACATTTTGATTTTTTTTATTAATTTAGAGTAAGTTCACGGTAATATCTGTTCAAATATAACTTTTAACTCTTTGATATTGAACGTTTATATCCTGACATTTCTAGTGCTCGAATCCTAGATTTTTAAGAAATAATGATAATTCTTTTACCAAGTCATTAAAGTTCGTGTCATATTTTGAATTTTATGATGTAATGATATAATTAAAATCAAAACTAAAATTTAATGTCATAATGGGAGAAAACTAAAAGTTATTAAAGTTAGGGGAATGCAGACAAATAGATTGACAAAAGAATGTTGAATAAATTAATCATCCACAAAGCATTTGCAGTGAGAAAACGAAGGAAAATCCACCGAAACAGCTAACGTGCTGTTCAAATATTCAACCCTCCAAATCATAAATCAATTTTGATTTGCGTGCAGGTAATTCCAACCATTTTCTTTTCTTCAAATTTCATTTATAAATATCATATCTTCAGCTGTTTTCGTATCCCCTCCCTCCATTTGCCATTTTTCTCGGAAGTTGAGCAATGGAATCCACCGATAAACATACCACCGCCTCCACACCGGCATCCGAAGCGGCGCCTCTGCGGCCAGCGGCGGCCGCCGCCAAGTATTCTGCTCTGGATGTTGTGCTTAGGGTTTTGTTGTTTGCTGCATCCGTAAGTGCTGTGGTGGTAATGGTTACTAGCAAGCAATCCGAGATGGTTCCGGTGCCGGGCTTGCCGCCTAATATTAGGGTGCCTTTTTCAGCCAAGTTCAACCATTCTCCTGCCTTCATGTAAGTCTAATTTATAAGATTGATGAGTGTTATTTAATAACTTAAATTTTGATTTAATTTTTTTATTTAAAAAAATTTCGAGTCTTTCATATGTAGTGTTCTAATCCATTTAAATTGAAATTTTGAATTTTTTTTTGAAAAGTTTAGTTTACATTTTTTTGTAAAAAAATTTGTGTGAAGCTAAATTTTTTGAAAAATTAAGAGGCTTAACGAGAATTTTTAGAAATTATGGAGGAACTTAATTAAGAACATTAGAAAAGTTTAAAGTTTAATCTGAATTTTTAAAAATTTTGTGGCATATAAATTAATTTTTTTTGAAACTTTAAGTGTATAAATTATAAATTTTCAAATTTTAGAGGTTGTAGCCCCCACTCTCATTGTGTTCCGCCTTGACTTTAAGCGATAACAATAATCTCTTAATCACTAAGGTATTGATTTGTATTTATCAATAGAATTTAAAAAAAAAAAACTAGGGTGAATGTAAGATAATATATGTTTAAATGCACTAAATCTTTGATAATAGACGTTTATATTTTTACATACACAATGCTCAAATCTGAAACTTTAAAAGTTAACAACAAATTTCTTAATCATTAAAGTCGCTTGGTTCATACACGAAAAGTTAAATAATATAAATTCATTTAAAGTTTATTTTTTGTGTTTGATACGAGTATATTTAATTTCTATTAAAATTATTTAATAAATAATATCTGATTTGTGCAGATACTTTGTAGCAGCATTATCGGTAACGGGATTATACAGCATTATTACAACTCTGGCATCGATTTTGGTCCCCCGCAAGACCAAAACCATCTTTCTCCTCCTTGCATTATTGGATGTGGTAAGCTCAATTTAAAATTTTCGATTTATTTGAGTTGAATTATTTTAAATTTATATATGAGGTTCGTATTTTTTTAATCAAACATTGCGAATTCAGATCATTTTGAGTTATTAAAATTTTAGATTTGAACCACTTCGATTAAAGAAAAATAGAGTCGATACCCTAGCAGGTTTGTTTCCAATCTGATCACATGATGCAGGTGTTTGTGGGGATTGTTGCCTCGGCCACCGGTGCAGCTGGAGGTGTCGCTTACATCGGATTAAGAGGTAACAACCACGTCCGGTGGAACAAAATCTGCAATACTTTCGACTCGTTCTGTCGGCACATCGGGAGCGCGGTTGCACTCTCGTTGTTTGCCGCCATCTTGCTGGTGTTGCTCAGCATGATCTCCACCTTCACACTTTACAAAAAGATCCGTTGATATTATTAGACATACCGTTCTTACAATCTTGTGTCTGGGTTTTAGTAACAACGTTTGATAATGTCGGTTTTCACTGTGTGTGTTCATCTTTGGAACTACTTAGGAAATGTTTTGTTGGTAAATGAATGTCTTAATTTATGTTTTTTTTGTAATTTTTCTTTTTCTTTTTGTTTATAGTATGATTTCATTTAGTTTAAAAAATTTCCAGCTATTTTATTTAAACTGTTACCCTTAATTTATATTTATTGAACAAATGGTCGATGAATATGTACAAATCTTGAATATGAGTCTCTGGTCAAATTATTAATTTTCATTAGTTCTAATAAAGTTTACAAATTCTTACATAAAATTTGTTAGAATTCAAGATGGACTAGAAATTTCAAGGCAATTTTATTGACATAAAATATACAAGATAAGATCAAATAAGATGATTTGATGAGTTATGCAACAACGTATAACCTAAATCTAAATTTTACCTATTCCAAATTTAATATTTTAAAATTTTCGTTTGAATCCAACCTTTTTTATAAAAATTTAATTCAATTGAACCAAATCAGATTGAAACCCGTTGAATCTGAATAAAATGACCATCTCTATTTACGACGATGAGATGAATAAAGTTAATAAAAATGCAAATTGAGCTCAAATTTTGTACTTTAATCAGCTTCATATAGAGTTTGTCTTTCCTTTTACGTTTAAAGTCAGAGACAAATGATATATGATAGTATGAGCGTTCATTGTCAAAAGATATGTAGGGGTATAAATACGAACCAAACGACTTTAGTAGTTAAGGAATTTGTTGTTATCATTGGAGGTCCCGAGTTCGAGCACATCGTATATAAGAGTATGAACATTCATTTTTAAAGAGAATCTTTGAACATATTATCTTGTATTCACAGACAATGATATTGATAGTATGAGCGTTCATTGTCAAAAGATATGTAGGGGTATAAATACGAACCAAACGACTTTAGTAGTTAAGGAATTTGTTGTTATCATTGGAGGTCCCGAGTTCGAGCACATCGTATATAAGAGTATAAACATTCATTTTTAAAGAGAATCTTTGAACATATATTATCTTGTATTCACGCTAGATATATATATATAATAAGTTAATAGACAAAGTTAGAATACCAACAAAAAAGGACAAACTTTAATTAGCAATAGAAAAAAAGAATAAAAGCAAAATAAATTAAAATTGTGGTCCAACTAAATATATATTTCAATTATATTATCACTGCTTAAATTTGGGATATATTTGTCATATTTTGATGGGTAAATATACTTTTTGATATTAAACTTAGTTATAAATTTCAATTCGATATTTAAATTTTATTTTTTCTAAAATTTAATTTTAAGATTTAATTTGCCATTTAAGCTTTTATGTCTAATTAGATACTTGAACTTGGTGTTTAATACAAATCGGTACATGAAATTAATGGGGCATCGATATGAAGTTTAGGGCATGCCACTAAGGACCGTTGGGCGTTGAAGAGCAAGTTGTAGAATCTGATCAATTCGGAGACGTGGTTTTTTTAATGAGCAAGTGGGGCATCAGATTGTAACAACCCTAAAGATCCAATCGACCATCCACATGTCTGATGAGTAATGGGGCATCCTAATTAGGAAAAGATCATTTCATTCGTCATGAAGCCCTGTTTCACTTGCATTGTCTTGTTTGAGTTTGTTTTTGTTATTTCTTTCTTTATTTATTTACCTGAATATTTAGTAAAAATGTTTGGTGATTGAACTTATGCAACTTCTTAAGGTCATGAGCAATAAATCAGGCAAGTGGTAAAATTAGACCTTTCGTATCCCGTTTAAAGCCAAAAATACAATTACTCTATCTTTTGTACCTTAAATAATTCTTAGTCATTACCAAAACCAAATTTTGACACTACATTTATTTGAGATTCCAAAGTCATACTTTTACCTTTTTCGAGACACCAAATTCATACTCTTACCTTCTCGAGTATAGTTGATATGTTTATAACACTACCTTTATCTATATACATGACTTCAAAGTCACATTTTATGTCTTTTCAAGTACAAAACCATCATTTTTTTATACCAATGAAACCAAAAGGCCTCAAAGTGCAAAACTTTCATTTGTCTGTGAATCTTCCTGCAAGAAGAGACGATATGGGGCATCATGGATCAACTTGTTGAAGAGAAGCTCGAGTAATTGGGGAATGCTCGAAGCAAGAAGAAGAAAAAATAAAGAGAATGATTTAAATAATTATATCATGCATTAATTACATTGTTTTCATGTAAATAAAAGTTAATCATGAATATTCATCCCTTTTTACAAGGATTTTTGTGTATGAAATGATGAACGACATTGTTTCATTTATCCCTTCACAAAAATGAGAGAAATATATCCCTTGTTATCCCCATTTGACTTGGATTATTTTTCTTCATATTCAACCCTAACCAAGGATCACCCTCCACATTGGGGGCAAGGTAAGGATATCTGCTCGCATGAGTAAAGATCGTCAATCCAGTTTTTTTACAGGGGCAAGTCTCTATGAAATAAAGAGGAATAACAAGGAACCGCAAGGTAGATCAAATGCAAAGTGCTCAGAGATCAAATCCAGTCGAGAACAACGAAATAAATTCCAAATACAAGAAACAAAGAGGAAAAGAAGTTGCTCAAAGCAATTAACGTCCTATACTCATTCAATAAATTCATAAAAAAAAATATAGAGATAAAAAGAAGAAGAAAGAAAAATGAGAGAAAAAGAAAAAAGAAAAATGAGAAAAAATAAATTAAATATTTCAAAATGAGTGACTCATTGAGCTTCAAGCCGAGGTTGATAAAGTGTAATCGCTTCAAAGATTCATATTCAACAAGAAAAGCGAGAAATACTGAAGATATAAGAAAATGAAGATGAACTCTAGGGTGAAAACCCAAAAATGGGCAGTCTAGAGGGATCCAGAAAAAGCAAAAGAAAATAAAAGACATGTGGCAAGCAGATCCAAGGCAAGCAAGGCAAGATTGAAGGCATCAGAACGAATTGATCATTGGTTTAATTACCCTTAAACACTTGTTTGGGCCTATTTATCCCTTTCTTTCATAACTGTGAGCCCTAACCTATGTACGTCCCTGAAAAGTCCATTTTAATCATACATGGATTTCTAAGTGAAAGAGACTATCTTCAAATTTCATTCCGCTTCTCAGGATTAATTTTTATTTGTAAAAATTATTTTCTAAAATCTTTAATGCATGATAGAAAAAATAATAAAGGGGGTTTAAGATGTAAAATTTTGAATAACGTCTTGAAGCCAAAGGAGGATTCGAATTGAAAACTTGAAAGAGTGACTCGAATATTAAATTGTGCAACGACGACATAAGAGACGGTCTTACAAAGCTCTTGATGAAGTATCGCACATCCCAAAGGTGTTCCTGAGAGTTTGGAACCAATAAGTATCTCTAGAAGATGAGCATAATAACCACTTCTTCAAGTCAGTGGACGCCCAAAGAAACATATATGTTGTAATAAAAAGGTCAACCTGAAGACCTTACCTTTTTCAAAATCAACCTACACCTTAAATTTGTCAGTAATTTTGACACTTGCCAATGGGCTATGATTTTTTTGAAAGATTAAAGAGTAATTGATTTGTTTGATATTCATTAAACTCTTGTCTTATGATTTGTCTCAATTGTGAAAGCTAGAAAGAGGAAATATTTTTCAAATTTTTGATTAAACTTTTTTCAAAATTCTTTCAATTGATATTTTTCATTTTTTTTTGAAATAAAAAGAAGAAGAGGAACATTTTCAAACAAGACAATCTCTTTGGAGTAAGTCTTGGTAGTTGACACATGTCTCTCGGACACAAAGTTCATGATTAGAATCAGTGCTGGAGCAAGAAAATGATAAATGTTGGGGTATTTTTGAAGACTCATATCATCCAGTAATACAATATCATTGAATTGAACAAACATTTATAAAACATAAAGGTGTGAAGAATGAGAATGGTGAAACAATGAATTTGATTCTAAAAATCAATGCAAAACTTAGAGGGCTAAGTTCGAGGGCTCTCCTAGGCAGTCTCATACTCCACCAATTGTTTCGATGGTCAGCTCCAAGCAATGACCTTTGATTTCCCGCTATAGGGCAACAACACATACACAGTCTCCAAAGATGATAGATTCTTCTTTCAAAGATAAAAACACTATTGGATTTCTATACAAGTTCAGGCGAAGAAAGCAAATCTTATCAGAGGCAAAGATTTGTTGGGGGTAAGAAGAAATTGACACAACTCAAGAATTGCTAGAGAGCACACTGGTTCAAACAAAAGACAACTTAATCAGGAAGAAAATGAAGATCGCTCTTGCAGCCGTTCCCACCACAGACCAAGAAAACATTTATACATGATACATGAATTTGTGTCATTGCACCATACATCATTTCATACATACATAATAAATTTTGATATCCCTCATGAGGATGTCTGCAAAATATGTTTTGAGAAATTTTTGTCTATCTTAAGATGGTTTCCCTAGAACTTCAATCGTGGCATTTTGGGAACATGTTTTCTAAGAAACTCAATCTTATTTCCTATAGTCAATCCTTGGCTTCCTCATGAAGAGAAGTCAACCTTTGTTATTCCTGACTCCCCAGCAGAGTCAATCCTTGACTTTCTCGTGAAAAGAAGTCAATCTTTGTTATCCCTGACTCCCCAATAGAGTCAAATCATTGACTTCTTTATGAAGAAAAGTCAACTTTTGTTATCATTGATTTCCTTGTGAAGAGAAGTCAATCTTTCTGATTTCTTGAGTTATATCTCCCTGAAAGAAGAGTGGAGCAGACCTGTTTTTCAAAGATTTCTCGAGTTTTATCTCTCTGAAAGATAGTGAAGTAGACCCATTTTCCAAAGATTTCTCGAGTCTTATCTCCTTAAAAGAATAATGGAGCAGACCCGTCTTCAAAAGATTTTTCGAGTCTTATCTCTTTGAAAGAAGAGTGGAGCAGACTCGTTTTCCAAAATTGACCTGAGTACCCAAAAAAGAGGAATATATCGTCTTATCTCCCTGAAAGAAGAGTGGAGAGGACCCGTCTTCCAAAGATTTCTCGAGTCTTATCTCCCTGAAAGAAGAG